AAATAGAGGGAGGTTTACCCAAGGCGTTAGTTTTAGCAATGTTTTGTTTACAAGCTACATGCACTCCTTAATAAAGAAGTATTTGTCTGAACCAAGCCTGGTTGCGTGAGAATGCTTCAGAACTGAGAGCTGGACATCGTGGACTTGACAATGGGATGGCATGCATTTGGTTGAATTTCATTTTAATGGACTACACTTGTTGTAGCAAGTCAGAAACTATAACGTGGTGAACAAAAAGGGCAAAAGTAACACTGATGTAAAAAGGAAAAAATGAATTAAGGCTATAAGGTTAAATGTGTCCTTTAAAACAAAGATACACAACAGACTTGTAAACATCTTGAGAAATATTAATTTGGCCTTGCAGATTTCTTGTGTAGATCGTTCTAACTAATAACTTACATCAACATATTCCTTTTAGAATTGTTTCCATTCTATACAAAGTGTGGGTCAACTTGGCTAAAAGTGCTGCTAGAGGAATCTAAATTCGCATGCTTGTTTTTGAACTAATTGTATATGTTTCCTATATTTTGTTTTAATGTTTTTATATTTAGTGCTTTCATTCCCACATTGGGAGTAAGCATGTATTTTTAGGATCAAGAGTCATGCTATAGCCACCAGAGTTTTTATAACCTGAATTTATCCTAAGGACTCTACAGTCTTATTCCTATTTTACAATAATCACATCCTGAATTGAATTTTAAAATTATATTTTAAATCCTGAATTTCCTAACATTTTGTTTCCTTCTCATTAAGTGACTTGTGGCTTCATAATGAATAATGCTTGTATTTTATAGATGCCAGACTGAAGTTATATTTCTGTTGTAAAAAGAAATATACCTAGAAAGGGACATAGATTCAATATTTTATACATATAGAAGAGCAGATGAGTATTCTTGAAAAGGCAAGACATTATCTTACTCAAAGAAACTATAAGTATATTTAAGAACTGAGGGTAACAGTCTTTTGGCTTATATAGAAGCATTCTTATACATTCAGCTATTTGAATTATAAAGTATGATTTATCAGATCCTGTAGCTCATTAGTGATGCTGTGCTTCTATATTGTTTAAATTAATTGAACGTGATAGTTGGGTAAAATTTATTGAATGTTACAGCTGGGTAAAGGGATGCATAAGTAATGCTCATATGTTCACTATATATACACAATGGGATCATTGCAGTTTTTAGACTAGTTAATGCATTCAGATGCATTATTTGATGGCTTACAGCTGAATAATTGAATTTCCTATGAAAAGGATAAATCTGATGTGAAATGATCTGCATTTCACTGTTGATCTGCAATGGTTATTCTTTATCTGCAAATGTGCACTTAGTGTTACAGTCACCAAACAATAAAAGTGTGTGTCTGTGCAGGTTGTTTGTTGCCATATATTATTCTTTACTTACATTAGCAAGATTTGATTACATCTTCTAGTAATTATAAAATATTTTGAGGAAATTATTGATTTGCAAATGAAATTTTAGGATAAACTTTATTCCATTTCATGCAGGCTCATTCATCAGTTGAAAAGGATGGCTTGATTGCTGGAGTGAAAATTAAACAAGTCTCCACAGATGACTCATTTGCTGTACGTGGGCCAACTCTAAGAAAAGTTCTAGATGCAGATAAAGCTGCTGGTCTCATCCCATTCTTTGTAAGTACTGATATCTCAACTTTTGTTAATATCTGTGGAATAAGATTAAAAATAAGATTCCCAGTTGCTAATTAGTCTGCTGCTCTATGTTTTAAATCAGAGTTACTATCTTCAGACATAACATCTATGGTAAACATTCCTTGGTAACCTCATGGATATTTCTTTGCAAATTGTAGGTAGTTTGTTACTGCTTTCTTCTGGAATGTTTTTCAACTTCCCAGTCTAGCCAAAGCTCCTACATTTTTCAGATGATTTCCCATCCATCCAAGTCTGGGGCTGCTCACAATAACTGTTGCAGATGATTATTCCCAAAGGAGAAAGAAGGTAGCTAGTTCAAAAACTGGCAGTCCAATATATGTTTATTATTAGTCAAGCAAACTAATAAGAAACATAATAAGAAAAATACAAAATGTGATGGCCCAGCCGGTGATGGATGTTTCCTGTTATATTTGGGTGATCACACTGCTTTGGAAGCTGCATTGGCTTTTTTTCCAGATACAATTTAGGGTGCTTGTCGCCACCTTTAAGACCTTACAGGGCTCCAGACCTGGTTATTTCTGAGACCATTTTCTCCTGTATTAATATATCCATCTCATTAGATTGAACAGGGGGCCTGACATCTGACAGGGGGTAGGAAATGGGCATTTTTCGAACACTGCTACCTTGCCTTAGAACTTCTATGTGGAGATTTGCCAGTCTACGTTTTCCCTCCTGGGTTTCAGAAGAGCAGTTAAGACTTGGCTTTTCCATCTAGCCTAGGAGAAAAGCACTCTAAATGATAAGATGACTAGCAGAGACATGTGTGCATTTTTAAAAAAAATCTTTTATGATGCTCTTGAGGTTACTATTATTTTTTCAGTGGATTTATTTTTACTGAATAATGTTTCTGATCATTAGCTGCACAAAGCCTTTGTGAATTCATATTCTTGTTGTCTTCTAACATTTGGATTTATTTTATCTCAGACATCGGCATCTTTGGCATCCTTAGTATGTGTCAGTTCATTACATATATCTGAGCTGGTGGAACGTGGGCAGTAGTACATTGGCTTGCAAGTTAGTCTCTAGGTTAGACAGTGTGCATGACTGTGATAAAACAGGATTTTGGTTGCGCTTGTAAAGTAATCGCCAAGATGTGCCTAAACGACTGGTACTTTCCTGGCCATTAGCAGGGAATGCTGTATGTATCAAAAGAATGACTAGGGCTGCTAATCTCATCTATACTTTTTCTGAATTACTAAAAAATATTATGTGCAAGTCCGGATTGACCAAAGCCATGATGGGTAGGAACAGGGCCATATCTATGGCCCCATTTGATTATTACCAAGATTATGACATGAAATGGAAGAGGAGTACATGTTAGAGCTTGAATTAACAAATGAAAAGAATAAAAGAAAAGAAAACAGATGTGTCCCTTTGAAAATAAAAAGAAAAGGGAGGAAGAAAGTGATCTTGTGGAGTCGGCTGTAGGAAGAAAAGGTATGGGTCCTGTGTTAAAAAAGTATTAGAAGACAGATTATTTTACCAACAGAATGAATGGAAAGGGGATGTAAGGAAAGATAATATAAAAGCTGTTTCAAATAGAAAGAAAAATAAATTATTTATTGATGTATTTAATTTATTCAATACTTCAATTAATATTCCAACTTGGAGTGGCTCATTATGCTATAAAGTGCCATGGAGGTGAATAGGTCTGAATTATGGAATGTTTTGCCTGAATATAGGATCAAATTGGTTGCTAAATGTAATAAGAATGCAATAAGAACACTATATGTTAGAAATACAGCACGCATGAGAACAAATGGAATATAGTTTGGTACTGAGCAAAGAGTAAACTAAGAATGTGTGGTGTTCTTTGGTTATTTAAGGTACATGTGGATAAATGTATAAGGAATGCTTGTGGTAATTTAACTGTAAACGGCTCAGAAATTTTTAAATGGAAAGTAGGTATGCAAATCTTTTACATAATTAAACAATAGTGAAACATAACCTGATATATTATTTTGTTTTTAGAAATACCAATACTTTTTAATATTTTAATACATGACTAACAGATATAATAAACATAAATCTATGTAATTCAACTTCCAACATTTCTATCTTGCCTGTTTTTCAATCTATGAGGAGGCAGATGCCATCTGTTCTATAATTTATAGAAACTTTCTTTGAAATTCATACGATTATTTGCAAGATGTATACATGCAATACTTCCATACCTCTGATGCTATATTTACATTATTAAATTGTTATCCATTTAATCCAATTTTTGTTTCCTTAATCTGTTTTAGCATCCCATTTTCTAACGAGTTAGTCATGCAAGGTATACTTTAAGCATAGCTCCAGATTCAGTCCATTATCTTCACTGACTTATTTCTTCACTCTTAATAACTCTGCTTTCCTGTTTGTTTTTTTTAAAGAAGACAAGTATAGGAGTCACCTGACCCAACTGCTGACAATACTTATTTCTAGAAACTGAATTAAACTGGACACTTCTTGCAGATTTAGCATTTCCAGATGTTCTTGTGGTTGGCATATCCTTTAGTGGCACTGATGCTTCAGCACCTCACAGCCTGCAGGGCACAATGGATACTGTACGGAGCCTTTTGCTTGCTGACTTCCTCTGATAGGAAGGAATGGAGGCTAGGCTTTGCTGTTCTCTCCATGGGTTTTCTTTGACAAACCTTTTTGTTCAAGTTATAAACCTGCTTCACTAACCCTTGCTCAGGCTAGATTCCAGCTTTCAGGAGCATTCAAACACATGTACCTTTATTTTCTCCAATGATTGTCTTCTAAGTGACAATTCTCCTATTTTTCCCCATTTGCTTCTCCTGAGTTTGTTTTGTAAAGAAGATTGTTTTCCTACTACATAAACCCCATTGAAGAAAGGAAGGCAGAGCCAGAATCTTTTTCTTGTTGGGTAGGCGAGTTAATGCACAACAAAATGTAGATGTCCTCTTAGGGATTCCCTGTTTTTGCAGCAGGCAAATGAATATAAAGCTGACAAGTTTTCTAGCTAGTCTAGAAATTATCTGAATAGAGCTAATTGATGAGACTAGAGCTCAGGCATTCTAAAATGAAATAGATTGCATTTATAGCCTTTCATTACCATGTGGGATGATATCTGGGGGCTAGTCTGAATGAAAATATCTACCCTGGCCACCTCTAGATTTGTGAATGTGAGGCCTCTTCCTTGCTTCATGAGTGTGCTAACTGTGATAAGGCAACTAACACTGTGCAGCAGAGGGTAACCTATGACAGTAGGAAGTGAACAAGCAGTGAACTTTTAGAAGCAATGAACTCACATAAGTAGGGTACTAAAATGGTGCTTATTTCAAGAAGCCAGGAGAATAGGATCATTATCTGTAGTGGCCAATAAGGTCAGATAAAAAAAGAGAAAATGATCCTTCCTTGCAGCCATGTCATGCCTGTCATTTGGATGGGACATCATAAAATGCACAAGTGGAAGAAAACCCCAGAGTCTGGACTATCTAAGTGTGGATGGTCAATTGCAGGTCTGTTTATTGTTTGCAGTGGGAGAAGAATGATTTGTGGCATGAGAATCCCTCTTGAGGGGGGAACTTAGCATTTCTTAAGGAGGGAAAAAACACGGTCTGGCAGTCTTCTAACCGATTGTTTGGGAACAGGTAACAGGTAGTTGGTGTTTTGACATCTTCATTATTAGATATCAAATAAATTAAAGCTGGAACCCTACTCAGAATTATTTACAACATGCCTTGTTGACCTCAGTGGCATCTTATCAGTGTATACACTGGTATAACCTTTCTTGGGCACGGGCTGCTCTAGGAGAGTGACTACAATTGCAAGGGCCATGGGCAGAGGTGTCTGCAAGCTATGGTCAAAAAAGTCAAGATGGCTACCATTTGACCATCACACATAAAAATGGTCAGAGCTTTGATTACACCAGCCGCCATCTTAACTATTTTGACCATAGTCTGTAGACACCCTTCGTCATGGGTGAGGGCAAGCCAGCAAAGGGCCATGTTTCTCAACCCACCTACTTTCCCAGTGCTGCTAATGTTTCTTAATGTCTTTAATGGATCAAAAGTATTTTTCAAGGCACTGAAATAATTAAAAGAGCCTCCAAGTAACATTATTAACTCCACTGCTGGTCTGGGGGCCACAAAAAGGTTCAGGGGTGGGTACTTCACAAGATTTTACATTCCTGCCTTGGTCTGTGAGTTTCCTGGCACTTAAAAGATGAATAAATCAATTGAGAGTTTGATGCATCAGTAATTTAACTTGTTTTCCTGCAATTGCCAGTTTGTACAAAAAGTTATGCCAGTATACATGTCTGACAGGGCCCTGTTATATTAAATTAATTGCCCCCGCACACACTCCTCTTCCATTCTGTTTTGTTTTGCAGCAATTTAAGATGTGTCCTTAGGTTTTTTTTGGAGCTTTGACACTACAAAATTTCTTCTTCTTCTTCTGAATATATCCAGTCCTGTCATTAGCCAAATGTTAAACTTACCTGACTGGGTGTGGTAATTGTACCAGCTATAAAACTGACTGCTTTGTTACCAAAATAGGAGCAGCAGTGCTGTATTTAAAGATACACTCTGAAAAGGTGCATGTGGTCTGTAAGTTGTCTGAACAATTTGCAAGGGAGACAATCTGTCCCTGCTCCAAATGTGATTACAGTGTTGTAATGGGGATTTCAAATTGGGTTAGATGCAGTATTAGGCCTCCATCGCACGCACGCATGCGTGCACACACAAACAGAGCAGCTGCTGTTAGCTTGAGTAGCTTTTGAGTATTGATGTAAGGAGCTTTGAGCTGCCTGCAGACTTGTAGGAAAGATATTCATAACAATGACACAGCAGAGTTATATCACGGGCCTACATCTCTTTTCATAATGGCAAAAGGCCTGAATGGATTACTGGGGTTTGTGAATCTCTGCATTTAAACAGTAATAGGACATGGAGACCAAGATGCTATATCTTTAATCTAACCATCTGCATTAAAATGAGTATTTGCTATGGCTTTTATCACCCATGGATACGTGTCCTGGTAACAACTAATATGCTTAGTCATTACGTAGCCATGCAGAGATGGCAGAGGATGTGCAGCCTTAATTATGAAGCTTCTTATCTGTAAAGCTACTTGTGAGGTTTACTATATTCCCTGACAATTATGCTATGTGCGATTGGGAGGGGGAAACCAGTAACTGTGGGCCCAATAATGCCAGTGGGTAAAACTGCTATTATTTATAACTTTGATATCTTATACTGAATAAATGAATGTTGTGAGAATAAATAGCGATAACTGAACCTTTTTTCTTTAATTGGATTTACCCTATGGTTATTTTAATGATTGAGGCATTTATGATACGTGCTTTTTATTTTAACAATATGGTGGACCACCTTGCAAATCACAATTGAGATATAAATATTTTTTAAAAATTCAATTACGGTAAAAAAAAATCTAGTTTTTCTGTAGTTTGCACACAATCATTTTCTGAAAGGTCATGACTTGAACTTATTCATATTTGGGTGTTCATAACTGTTTTATTGCTAACATAAGCGTGCAAAGCTTTCTATATATACCCATTATCAGAGATTCACATATAAATTTCTAAGAGGTTTGAAATTCTTTTCCACAATACTTCCACTCCTCTTTCTCTCTCTCTGTATAATCCAGTCTTTCTCTGAAGGAACTCGGGGCAGTGTCATGCTTCTTTCTTTCACAGTCCTCAACATCCCCATAAGGTAAGAGGCAGAAACATAATAACTGCCTGAGGAAGTTGCATTTGAACCTGGGTTCTCCAGACTTAGTCCAAACCTCAACATTATTATTACAGAAATAGTAAGATTCAAATCAAATCTTTATTACGGTCAAAGACCAGCATAGAAATAATGTTTTCAACATCTCCAGAAGCCAGAATTAATGAGGCTGTAATATGGAAACCAGTTGGAACAGCTGAGCGGTCTGCAAAGTTATTCTGTGCCCTGTGCTTCTGGCTGATGGCAATGTTTGTCAGAAAATTTTAAGCACTTACAGTATTGCAAAGCTACTGCTTTTAGTACATTATCATTTCACAAAGAGGCTTCCTGAGGATTTCTGAAGCACCTCACAAACATGCAGATCTCCTTCACTCAGGAAAAAAATGGCAGAAAAACATTATGCAAACATAAGAATACAAGAAGAGATCAACAAAGAAATAAAAGTACATGGTTAAAAATGGACTTCAGTGGATTGTTCCAGTAGCTTTTTAGCTGTGGATTTATCCGTTTGTTTCACAAACTGTCTCATATTATCTACAATCAAACTTATCACGTACTACATCTAGGCTGTTTTTAATTGAAAATATTTTTCTGTCCTTGTTTGATAAAATATGCCTGCATAATCACAGAACACCCTAGAAAATGGCTGCATGAAGTTATGTTGCCAGTTTTGTGCCAAGATAGAGTATACCAAAACTTACGTTTTTAGATTGTGTAATATCATTATATTAAACGTTATTCTTAAAAGGTCTTTTTTTGTTTTGGGTTTTTTTTTGGATCTGCAGTTTTGTGCGACTCTTGGAACCACGACGTGCTGCTCCTTTGACAATCTGCTAGAGCTGGGTCCTATTTGTAAGTTAACAAGCGGTCATTTTATCTCAACACTGAAAATCTGCTTTTGGTTTGTGGGTCATATTGCATTAAACCCTTTAGTGGATTTTGAGTAAGAGACTGGCTCAGCAGAAAAGCTCAGTATTCCCACACAATTTAATTAGACAAACACTTTTGTGGCATACTTTCTAGCAGATGGCTGGATCCTTTAGCTGGGAGCAATTTATTTATTTTACTCATCTGTATGTCACCCATTCCAAAACCACTTTCAACAGGCTATGATACTTACATGTAAACATTGAAAACCACGTACGTGAACCTGTAAAAATCAGAAGTGTAAAATCCTTAAAAGTCTAAAAGTCCTGGGGAAAAAGATTGGTGTTCTTCTCCCTCCTAGGAGGGAAATCGGCCCTCAATTCCAGTAGCAGTTTGTTCCATGATGAAAGCTCCACCAAGGAAAAAACAGAATTTGCCATTGATATTAGATGTATCCATGAAGAAACCTGCAAAAGACCTGAAAGTCTGGAACAGACTGTGCAGGAGTAGGCCATGCTGCAGGTATCCTGAATCTAAGCTGTATACAGCCTTATACTCCAAAGGGGGAATTTTGGATTGGGCTTGGAAAACAACTGGCAAGTAGAGGAGCTGTTTCAACACAAATGTGATTGCAGACCCACCAAGCTGCCACGTTCTCAGCTAGCTACAATTTCCAAAGCTTCTGCAAGGGCTGTCCCACAAAGCAGTAATAGGTAGCCCATGTCACCCATGTCAGGTTTCTTTCCTCCAGATAAGGGCACAGCTGGTTTATTGGCTGAGATTAATAAAAGATCCCCCTTATCCAGACAATGCTGGATCCAGGAAGATTGTGAACCTTATCTGGAGATCAATGTGTTGTCTCCAGCTATCGCCTGCATGTTCCTATATCTACCTGCATATTCTCTTCTTCAGGGCATTGTTATAGAAATGCCCAGTGACCTAGGAAAAAGGAATAGCATACAGACTGTTATGGTAGAAGGTATACAGGAAACAAACAAAAACTTGAAAAAGTAACCACTGCAGAAAGGAGGCTTCCAATCTGGAACAGCAGCATCAGGTGACAAGGTGGGGTTTAATGCCTTTCTTTTTGGTTGTTCACTGAGTATTACCTATGATATGAAAAGTATTGAGCAACGTGATACCTGCAGCATATACAACTTCCATAATGTACCTTTTATACAATCTTTAAACTATAGCAAGATCATTCCATTACTGCCAGGCAGCCTTGGAACACTATAGTTTTTACAGTTGTAAATTAAACTTTCACATTCTTCTATTTCATCACAGTAGGTATCTATGTTGGATATCTGTTCTGATATTTATCAAAGGTTGTGCATACCTACAGCATTTACTGTATGTATTCAATTCAGTTTTATTGCAGTTATTTTGCAAGTTCATACACTCAGTGCATAATAAGGAAAACAATTTAAGATTCAAACACATTTGAATAAATAGTTAGAATAACAACAAACACAAAATGCCTATTTTCTTCTTTTTTATTTATTTATCTTGTTGTTGCTTTTAAAATAAATGCCTATTTTCTTCTTGTTGGTCATACAGAGTTGGGATTCTCTCCTGCTTGAGAGGGCCTCGGTTTGAATGTGCTTTAAGCAAATTGTCTCTGGATTCTGGCCACTACTCTTCTAATTCCATTTCTGCTCTTCTGGTTGCTCACTGTTTGCCTTTCCCACAACTTGCTAGGAAGCAGAAAGGAAATATTCTTTCCCCCCCACCCCCGGCTCCCAACTGTTATACACATTTCCTGGGCAGCCTAAGCACCAAAACATCTTTTTTAAAGACAGAAAATGAATTATTTCTCTTGCCTCCCCTTCAGGTTCTAATGTGGCATTGGGTCAATGTAGGGGAACCCAAAGAACCCTCAAAGGATAGCACCAGCCGGAAGAGTCACTGCAGTGGCTTGTTTGTGCAGGGTTTATTTTGTTCCTCATATTTAAACAGAGGCCAGGCATATATTGTAGAACAATGCTCCACTTCTGACCATTATCCTGATGCTCCAGAGTCAGGATCTTGGAATCTAAATGATGTTTTCATAATGCGACTAACACTTTTAGGGGCTAAAAAACAGTAGATGTAGATGACATATCTGGCTTTGGATTCAACTCCGATGCTTTGATTTGATTCCGGAAAGGTGCCTCAACATCTGCGAGGGACCAGACATAGCAGCCATATTTTTTCTTAGGATCATGTGGCAATTGTACAATCTTAGGGGGAAAGACACAAGTCTTTGAAGATATGCAAGCAGTGCTATGTTTACACAGCAAAGCACCTTCTCTAAATCATTTCTGAAGAGCTGCACTGCCCTATATGCACATCCATGCAGTTCAGTGTGTAAAAAGTACAAGGTGATGTATATTAACACACATACACACACACATAATCTATGGGATCCAAGTTGACAATGACTTGATCAGAAAAGGAATCTTGAAATCATGGTTCAATGAAAATGTTAGAAGGGAGCATATATGTATTTTGTAATGCATATTTTAAAATAAATTTTATAATAAAACCTCTAAATCACCCAGTCTTTAAAAATATAAAACAGTTAAAATCCCAGTATCACAGGACAGTACAAGAAATCTAAGAGAATCAACAGGATCATACTCCCTGAAAAGGAAACACATCCATAGCCAGGTCTGAGCTGAATGGGCCCAGATAATCCATCTCTTTCAAGAACATCAGAAGCTATGCAGCCATCATTATCTGGCACCTTTCCTAAAAAGGGACATTAAGGTCAGTGGTTGTTAAGAACTAACAGTCTAGATTAAGTTTCAGAACAATGAACAGAACTTTCTCAAATATAAAATGGCAATTTATTTATACTGCCTTCCTAAGATAGTTGCTTCTAGAATTCATGGGTAGCATTCAAACTAAGTTAATTATAACTAACTCCCCTTGAAATTAATGGGAAATAAATTAAACTTGATAACTAATTGCCTCATGGATTTCAGACATGCACTTTATGAGTACTGTATTAGAACTTTTTCCTACTTGTCAAGCTATTGTATGCTCTACCTATTCCTGAGCAAGCAGAAGTTTGTATTGGCAGAAAATGTACTTTTCCCTGTGTTGATCTGCATCATGCTCTGTAGTCTTCATTCAGGCTTGTCACTGGGTGGTGGTATCCTAATATTGGATATGAAAAAATGATATTCAGCCAGGCCATGGGTTAAATCCTCTCTCTCTAACTGTCAGCAGCTGGTAGGGCACCATTTGCCAATTGCATTGAGAAATGGCTAGTTCCATGGGTCTCCTGCTTCACGTGCGGCACACCCCCCCAGCTGATCATTCTTGCCATCCTTGCAATAATTTAATTAGGTAAAAAAATGTATTACATCTAAGACTTTTCTCTTTCTAGGTAACGAGGAGAATATTTGGATGCATATTGATGCAGCCTATGCTGGAAGTGCTTTTGTCTGCCCCGAATTTCGTTACCTTCTCAATGGAGTAGAGGTAAGTCACAGTTCTACTGTATTTCAGAATGAAATACAGTAGAACTATTAAGCTGATGCTTTTACAGTCATGTAAGACATTCTGTTTGGTATTAACATCAGTGTTCAAACCGTATCAGATTCTTAGCAACTTCACCCACAAATGAAGTAAATTTTTCACAGCAAGCCACTGACTGCTTTGAATTCTGCCCACCAGAATGCTAGGAAAATAGATCAGTACAGTACAGTACAGAAACAGTACAGAAGAGCCATGCTGTCTCTTTGGTGCAGATGGAATGATAGCAGAGAAATGCTGTCTTTAGGCTATTCCTTTCATCATGGAATAGCCTATAGTATTAGGCTGTAACCCAGGTTAAATTTGATTTATCCCAAGTTTTTCCTCCATTGGAGTTCTAGCTATTGTCTTATTATTTCATTGCCCTCAGATTTCTGCTGAATCAGGGAGCTGATTGGGTTGTTGGGGCAAGGAAGTGGGTCAACTAAACAGGCTATTCACTGATCATTTAGAATTTTCAATATAAGCCTCTCTCAAATAAACACCCTTAGTATAAATAGATAATTTCCCAGAACAAGAACACTGGGATGATCTAGTACCAACCCTCATATTGTCTTGGCTATTTCAAGAAGGGAATTAACAAAAAGAAGGACAGATGATATACCACTAGACATCTTACGCTGTCCCACTCAACTGTAGCAGCATGTATTCAGTTCTAACAGACATTTGAATGGGCTGTCTAATAAATGAGATTGGATTTCTATAGTCCTGCACTCCATTTCCTTACTCCACCTCAATTCTAAATTGCAGGGTGACATTGGTGAGACATCCCTCTCCTCTTTTCTCTAATCTAGATCTTTATAAGCTTTTAAAATCAAAAATAATATCCTGGATACAGCGGTGGAGACTGTTACCTCTATCAGGATTATTTAGGGTGTTCCAACCCCATGGAGAACAGTGCAGTCTCTCACTGCTAAAGTGGAGAGAAACCTCTCTTTAATCCCAGCAGAGTGACCCTGTGTGTGTGTGTGCATGTGTGTCTATGAGTATTCATTCATTCATTCATTCATTCATTCATTCATTCATTCATTCATTCATTCATTTATTAAACTTGTCCCCGCCCA